GCAATGTAAACACCCTCCAACAGTAACATGGGCTACTCCCTGAGCCTGGCCTCGGGCCGGGCTTGGGGAGTAGAAGAACTCCCCAGTCAGAATCTTGAGGTAGATGATTTCAGGGCTTAGTGTCCCCGCGGCCCGGTCCTCGACCAGGCCTCCACCCCCAGGAAGCAGCCTGTAGCAGCTGTCTAACTCCCAGGTACCTATTTACTGCTAGGTAACAGGGGCATCAGGGTGAAAGAAACATTTTGCCCATTCGTCTCCGCTTCCACCGGGGATCAAACCCGGAACCTCAGGACTACGAATCCGAAGCGCTGTCCACCCAGCTGTAAGGCGCCCAGGAGTCCATTCTTACAGCGCCCAGCTTTAAGAATGAGCTCGTTTGTATATAGAACTCCCAAAACCCCATCAAGCAGGTATCAGTGGGGAAGGGGGGAAGGGCAGTAAACTAAAAAAAAAAACTGCAGGTATTCACCATTGTCTAAATATCAGCCCTGGACATGTTAACAAAGATGGCTATGAGAGCAGCATAATTATGAACATCGTGAGCATGAGGGTAGACTGCAGGCTGGCTGCACTCAATAACAATGTGGACGACCTGAGAAATACAAGCCTTAGAACAGGGAACCAAGGAAGTAGGAGCAATCCACAGAAACAGAATTGATGGCATAAAGGTAGAGGTGAAGAATCAAAAAGCCAGAAGAGGAAAGCGGCAACACAGCAGCCGACGAAGGTTAATTAAGGCCCGAACCCAGTGGTTGTGGTGAAGGGGTAGAACTGGAGAAACAAAACAGCCCATGAAGCCACACTTTACCCAGTTGGCTTCTAAATGAGGCCCAGTCAAGTCCAAACCTGGGACAGAACCAACTGGGACTTCTGCAAGTTCATCAGGAACCAGAATCCAGAGCTGGTAAAGAACCAGATCCCTGGCTAGTAGACATGCAGACCAGCTGAGAGCCCACTCCATAAATAAAGTAAAAGGAACTATAAATAAAGTTCCTTTTTTTATTTATATGGTTCAAGAAACTGCATTATATAAATATCGTGAGAAACAATTAAAATAAATGGACAAAGTTATTCCTGTATGGCATCTTCCCTTATTTCTGCTGCAAATTCCCTGGGCCGCTACAGCTAAACCTCAAGAGATAGAGACTTTTTATTTTGAATTTTGTGCTTCCTGGATGCTAATTAACAATGTTAAAAAAAAAAATTTGTCAGAACAATTTATTCTTTTGCACACCATGGGACATCAGCTATTAACACTTTCGCGCTCTCCGCAAAGGTCACTCAGCCAACCGAATGTGCGCGCTGCGTTTTTATTGCTTAAGCGTAAAAACAAAAATGTGTATACTCTTTTTACTCTTCTGACCTTAGTTCTCATGCTACGTATTTCATTTTGGTACCAACGTGTTCGCAATAAAATTCTCTAGAAGAACATCAGTAAAATAAGTCACGAAAGATATAGGGATACCAGCACCAAATAAATAACTACGTAGATGACTCGCCATGAGCGCCCATCAGCAACAAAATGTTTTTACTCTTGGGATTGTAATCACCTCCACACTTGTTCTACAGCGTTAATTTTGGTATCAATGGACTCGCAATGAAATTCCCAACACGGTGATATGAATATAAGCGTAGAATAATGATGCAGCCCGCCCGCAAGAGTGTGGGAAGTGGTGAAATTGTTACCCGGTATCGGTGACGGGACGACGCACGGCGCTTTGAAAGTTTATACTTATTTCACTCTCATGACATTAATTTTCTATGTACGTCATTCATTTTTATGTCAATGTGTTCGCAATAGAATGTTCTATGTGGCCATAGGTAAAAAATATCAACAAAGCGTAAGTTAGAATAGCGACAAATATAAAACAACGCTGGAACATATCAGTGAGCGTCAAACACACACGAAATATTTTTACTTTTGTTATGTTTGTCAAGTTTATACTTGTTGCACACAGTTATTTTTGGTTGTATATTGATCGGAATAAAATTCCCTAAACAGACATATGCATATAATACATGATATGGGGGAAGAATTACCAGTATAAACGGCTAAAGTCACCCACCTGCAACCCGTTTGGGACAAAATACCATTTGATCGAAGTTATCCACACCTTTCATGAACTTATTGTACCATGCAGCCTAGTGGTAAGAAAGAGAGCCTCATAGCGCGCAGTTTGAAACAAACCCAAAGTAAATCGGATAAAAATTGAATTTTATACAAATATTTTAAAAGTAGACATAACTTTATGTCCACTATGCGTTTGCGTTAGACGAAACCGAACGCGCCGGCGCGTCCAGATAGCGCGAAAGTGTTAACAGGTGCACAGCCCAGGGGTTAATTAATGTAAAACTATTTCTAATGAAAGCAATGCTTCCTTAGCTTCAAACTAAGTGCAGTGTGAAGGGTATACCCACTTAGATGCAAAGTTATGATTTTTTTGAACGTGTAAGCAAAATTTTTTTGTTCACATTGATAATCCTGATGTATGAATGTCATGCATCAATGAGCACTAAAATGTTGCCAATTTAAATGACTTTTTACCTGAGGGCCACTAACACACTAATAGCCTCGATGAGGACAGAAAGCCGGCAGCTTGTCAAAGGTCCCCACATTTGCTTTGATGATTTTTTTCCGACTAGATATTAAAATTTAACAGAGTTTTGGCATTTATGGCTTTGGCAGACAGGCAGTTTCATAGTTTATACCCTGTAAGTGAAAAAGGCCTCTCCTGCTTTCAGTCCTACATTGTGGCATGCTGAACTAGAACCCATTGCTCCTTGTTTGTGTTACATCTGACCTTTTGAAGAAATTGTCTGGATCAACATCCTCCAAATTGTTCAGTATTTTAAAGATTTCGATGAAATCAACCCTGTCATGCCTGGTTTACAGTGTTGTTAGCCCTGAGACCCTTTTTGTCCTCAAATATCATACTAAATTTCATGAGTCAAAGATGGTCTGGTTGACAGTCCACTTTTTGTGATGATTTAGCACGGAATGACATGTATTACAATTTTGATAGTAGATGATATATATATTCCACTGAGCATTAAAATCCAGTACAGTACTATATTGTATCAGCCCATTCTCCTAAATGATAATACAGTACTTATAGCAGAGATCTGGTCAAATATACAAAAATGTGCTCTATACTGGATCCAAAAATTTCACATTTTGTATTACTGAATTAGACTAAATGGCATACCATTAAAACAGAAATGTAACTAAAGAGCCTAAACTAAACTGTCCAAGCAATCCTAGGCCTAGTACATATATTTTAGGCCTAGCAGAGTACATATATGTGCTTTAACAGGTTTAGGAATGTTCAAGTTTGGTTTTTAGATTTTTCCCAAAAACATAAGTAGTACAAAAAATTAATTTTTTGGGGGTGGGGTTCAATATACACTATTAGCATATTCAGCCAAATAGTTACTACAAGTACCTGTACAATACTATCATTTTGACAGCATGGGTTATTGTATACATGAATGTATAATTTGCTGTATACATATTCATGTACTCATGTTGTATACATGAAAGTATACAACAATTACATGTGCTTACAAGGCTAATATTTACCAACCACTAAAACTATTTAAATTATTCATCCGTTAATGAGCACTAACATTTTTTCCTCAATAAAACTTGTCTCTAGCATGGTCTACCAAGATAGTAATACTGTATGAAAGGGAGTGACAAAAAGACTAGCATTCCAGTGGAGGGAATTGTAGCAGCTCTTAGGTCTAGTATTGAGAGACTGTATAGACCAGAAAAATGCTTGTATGATACTGGTGTGGTTTCAGTTCTGGTACAATTACACACTATTCTTATGCACTACCACTGACTAATAAAACTACTCAAATGTTTTATTTAGAAAATCATTGAATTCAGCTATTATGTGAAATGTGCTTTATTTGAAAGTAGGTACACAATTTCCTGGAGATAAGGGGCCAAGGAGTTGAGGTTTCTTCAATTGGAAACTTGCACAAATACACTACTTACAAATTACACACTACTGGCAGCAAGCAATAATTTATATATTTAGTTAAAAATATAACCTCCCACCTCCAAAATCGAAATTCAGTTTGGTTGCTCCCATAGTCAACTCAAGCTCCCTCCACTGACCTCAACAAACTCCATAAGCAGATCCTGATTACCTCAATATAGAACCTGAGCATATCGAGGCAGGTGTTTCTGCACTTGGAAGAAAAGTAGTAGAACCAGGCAGCCCAAAGCAAGTAATGACTATCTTGAAGCAGGCTCTGGCCATCCAAAGACATATAATTCCCACTGTCAAGAGCAAGAAGCTTGTACTAAGGCCTGTCAAGCCCCTTAGATGGCCTAAGGCCTAGGACAAGTACTGAAGTAGGTACTGTAATCAATAGGCAGTTCATATCCATTCAAAAGTAGTTCCTGGCCATCAGGAGGTAATTCCTTGTTTGGAGGCTGGTCCTGGCCATGCTAGGTGGTTTATTCCCATCACGAATTAGGTCCTGGCCAGCCAAAGCTAGTTTTTGCCTCTCCAGAATCAGGACCTAGTTGCTTTGAAAAAGGTCCTGGTTAATCTGAGGCAGAACTGGTGCACCACAAGGAAAGTGTAGGAAACCCTCCAAGGCAGGTATGAGGCACATCAAGGCAGATGTGAGGCACCTCAAGACAGATGTGGAGTACCCCAAAGCAGGTATGAGGAACCCAAAGGCAATGTGAGGTACCCCAAGGAAGATGTGGGGAGCCTAAAGACAGGTGTGGTGCACCCTAAAACAGGTGTAGGGCACCTTGAGGCAGTTATGGTGTACCCCAAGACTGACATGGTGCACTCCTAAGTAGGTATGGAGCACCCCTAAGCAGTTGGGGTACACGAAGGCAGGTGTGAGGCATCTCAAACCATTTCACTGGTACCCCAAGGCCGTCAAATCCGACACCCCAGGAGCCAGGCTCAAGTGGTGCCCAAGACATCAGTAGTGTGAGGTTGAGCCTCAAGGCCGCCCTTCGCCCTCTGGCCTCTCCCCGCCCTCTTAGCATGACACGCCCCCCCTGACCCAACTCTTGCCCACTAGCCACACCCCCCTCACCCCACCACGACCCTCTCCTCCCATGACACAGCCTGTCACGCCTCCATGACGCCAAAGTCACAATAAATACAACCCAGTAAATCAGCAATAGCACTGGGTAGCCATTTGAAAATGTGGTTGCCATTACCACCCATATTTATATACCAAATTTGGGCGCTTTCGGTGGCCTCCTGACGGCTTATATAATTATTAACAGCTTACCTGCGTGGGTAGTGAGGTGCTGAACTGGTTAGATGGTGAAAAAGTTCTTCACAGAGGCCGAAATTAGTGGGAAAAGAAATAACGATTCTCGATCGACGCTACCTTCGCCATTTGCATGTAAACAACAGCCTCAGCGAAGCTCTCCCGAACATCTTCCGCATTTATTATAACTTCTCCTAGACCACATTTATAAATTTTATAAGTACATTTTAATTTGAGTCACTTTCTAAATATGAATATGAAGCAGAGTAGAGATTGGATAAGCAGGGAAGGAAATATAAGTGAATACGTAGGGAGGGCGGCGGGGAGGTGCTCTGGACAGTCTTTAGCTCCCGACCAAATTTCTACAAATATATTTTCAGCGACTAAATATTGCTATTAGATACAATAAAATATAATTGTCAGTGGCGAATATTCGATGAGACGCATCAGTAAACACAACTGCACTGTCAAAAATAATACAGGTGAGCCACATGTCTTGTACAGTAAGGGGGGGATTCCGATGTGCATTGAATTTTTGTAACTAGCTCATCAAGATTGTAACTTCCTTAGCTAAATGAATTGTGAGTGTAGCGAGTAGATTATGTCAAATGCCAATAATATACTCGTTCCATGGGCCCATTATGTGCTATGTAACCCTTTCCACTACCGCCCACAAGATGGGTATGGGGTGCATAATAAATGAACTAAACTCTGCATGCCGTTCTCATGCAGACGTGAAATTTACCTGATGGCTATTAACACTCCAGTGACCTCGGCGAGGACAGAAAGCCGCCGGCTTGTCAAGGGTCACCCTATTTGCTCTGATGCTTTTTCCGGTTGGATCTTAAAATTTAAGTCTTTACATTTACGGCTTCGGCGGGTAGGCAGTTCTATGGGTTTATAACTCTGTGGGTGAGAAAGCATCTCTTGTTCTCAGTTCTCGTGGATCAACATCCTCGAAATTGTTCAGTATTTTACAAAGTTTCGATGAGATCCGCTCTGTCATGTCCCGACTTTTATACCCCTGGATATTTTGACCAGACCACACACTAGAAGGTAAAGAGACGACGACGTTTCCGGCCGTCCTGGACCATTCTCAAGTCGAATCGACTTGAGAATGGTCCAGGACGGATCGAAACGTCGTCGTCCCTTCACCTTCTAGTGTGTAGTCTGGTCAACATACTTTAGCCACGTTATTGTGACTCATCGCCTGCCCCTGGATATTCTCCCAATTCTAACCCAGCTGTGGTGGAGGAAGGGTGCGTCCTAGGCAGCTCTAGAGAGCTGTGAACTTGTGATCCAGTGACTTTGATGGATGATGACGATTCCAGGCCTCTTTTAGGTAGCAATGATCAGGAGAAACAAACGAAAAACTGCGCAGAGTTAAGTGATATTGACAGTGATGTTCCCTACACCGAAGAGCAATCAAGTTCAAGTTGCAAGTTCCGATTGCAAGTTCCGATTGCAAGTTCCCTGCAATCAGCTTTTTTTATGCAGACAAGTATAGACCCAGAACTTAACCTCTTATCCACTATCTATGACAATAATCACTTTAATGATCTAAATTGCAGATATTTTGCAGCACATGATGTAAACAATGTATTAACTCATAATCACAATATCTCTGTAATCAATTTGAACGTTAGATCCCTAGGTAAACACTTCGATGATGTTAGTGCCTTGATTGAAACTATTGGCAACAAATTCTCTTTTATTATACTTACTGAAACATGGTTGAAAGAGGATACTACTCAACTCTTTAACATGCCTAACTACTCAGCAATTCACAACTGTCGTCAACTTCAGAGAGGTGGTGGCACTGCTCTTTACTACCACCAAGAACTAACATGCTTAAAAGAAATTAGAACTAGAGACTGCTGTGGGGAGTATATCTTCGCCAGCTTCAGAGTCAAAGGTGCCGAGTCTGTCCTGTCTGTGGGTGCAGTTTATAGAATTCCCAACACTGATGTGTCTGAATTCAACTCAAACCTTAGAAATCTAATACTTGATAACAGACTGAACAAAAACCACCTAATTATCGCAGGGGACTTTAATATTGACCTCTGCGAGCCAGAACACCCTACTGCTGTTAGCTTCCTCAACTGTATGAATTCCTGCTTCCTCATACCCTTAATCACTAGACCTACTAGAATCACTGATAGCACTGCCACGACTCTAGATCACATCTGGACCAACATAACCTCTCCGCTTACTTCAGGTATAATCACCGATAGCACTACAGACCATTACCCCACATTTCTCTTAACTAACATTAGCAAACCACCTCTAGAAACAAGGGAGTTAAGCTTTAGGCTGCACAATGAAACTGCTATAAACAATTTTATAACTGCTGCTGATAATGTCAACTGGGAGTCCGAGTTAGGTAACATAGGGGACATCAACCTAGCAGTGCAATCTTTTCTACAAACAACTCTTAGCCTTTATAACACCCACTGTCCTAGGCTTACAAAACAAGTCACAAGCAAAAGGCTTAACAATCCTTGGCTTACAAAGGGAATACTTAAATCCATTAACAAAAAACACGACCTTGAGAAGAAGTATAGGTTAGGAATTGTCTCCAAAGAATTCTCAAAGAATTACTCATTATTTCTATCTAAGATAATTAGACGAGCCAAAACTAAATACTACGAAGATAAATTTACCCAAATAAAGAGCAACATTAAACAAACTTGGAGCACAATTTCACAAATATTGGGATCAAAGAAATCTGTAAATAACAAACCGACTCTCCTGTCTAATAACGATGGTCAGCTTTCAGCCTCTGATTCTGCTATTGAGTTCAATAGGTTCTTCTCTTCCATTGGTTCATCCCTTGCAAATGATATTCCATCTTCCAGTACTGACATTAAGGACTATCTTACAGGTAACTATCCACAGTCTCTGTACCTAAAGCCTATTAACTCCACTGACGTCAATGAGATAATCCTTTCCCTTAAAACCAAGTCTGGTGCCCTTGAGGAGATACCAACTTTAATTTACAAAAAAGCCTCCAGATCTTTAGCCCCTGCTATTGCTTTGCTCTTCAACAAGTCACTTGAACTCCAAACCTTTCCAGATATTCTAAAAAAAGCGAGAGTAACGCCTGTCCACAAATGTGGTGATCCCACAGATGTTAACAACTACAGACCTATATCAATCCTGCCAAACTTGTCAAAAAAAATTGAAAAACTAATCTATAAGCAGCTTTACTCATATCTAGCCAAACTCAATATACTTAGCCCTTGCCAATATGGCTTCAGACCCAAAAAAAGCACTAACGATGCACTTATTAGTATGCTTAACTCGATTTATACAGCTTTTGATAAAAAGGAGTTCCCTGTTGGGTTATTTGTGGACCTGCGTAAAGCTTTTGATACTGTCAACCACCAAAACCTTCTTCTTAAATTACATCATTATGGAGTCAGAGGACACTCCCTACAATACCTCGAATCCTACCTTACTGACAGGCTCCAATATGTTTCTGTGAATAATACAATTTCTCCCACCCTACCCATCAACATTGGTGTTCCTCAGGGCAGCATACTTGGCCCTCTCCTCTTTCTCATCTACATTAATGACCTTTCTAATGCCTCCCAACACCTCAAACCAATTCTATTTGCTGACGACACAACCTTCATTTACTCCAGTCCTGACCCTCTTGCTCTAAATGCCACAGTAAATACTGAGCTAAATAAAGTCCATCTTTGGCTAACTGCCAACAAACTCACCCTTAACATTGACAAAACTTTCTATATTCTGTTTGGCAATAAATCCTCTAGTCAAATAAATCTCAAAATAAACAATACCCAAATTTGTAACAAATTAGATGGCAAATTCCTTGGCATTCTCATTGACCACAAGCTGAATTTCCAGGGACACATTCTAAATATATCAAAAAAAGTTTCAAAAACTGTGGGCATTCTTTCTAAGATCAGATATTATGTACCACGCCCTGCCCTGGTGACTCTCTATTACTCCCTTATCTATCCATATCTCAACTATGGTATTTGTGCTTGGGGTTCTACTACCCAAAATCACTTACGTCCTCTAATTACCCAACACAAAGCTGCTATTAGAACAATATCCAACTCTGGCCCCAGACATCACTCGGTACCCCTACTCAAATCTCTGAATATGTTAGACATTAAGTCACTGCACATTCTCTCATGTGTATTATACATATATAAAACGCTAAACTATAATGCCAATCCTGATCTCAAAAGCTTCATAGAAGGTTGTAACAGAACCCATGAGCACCACACCAGAAATAAATACAGTTTTGATATTCCTAGAGTACGACTTAATCAAACCAGAAATGCTCTACAAATCAAGGGGCCCAGAATGTGGAATGACCTTCCCAACCATGTTAAAGACTGTACCTCTCTCAACCAGTTTAAGATAAAAACTAAACACTACCTAATAAATTCCCTGTAACCCACCTCACTCCTCTATTATCAACCCATGTCTGTTATTTTCTTTTTTTTAATCAACACTGTTTGTCAACCTATTGTATTTGTGCTGCTTTTTCAGTCTTTTTCCCCCTTTTTTTTATCTTTATTTGTATTTGTTCTCAACACTTTTTATTCTTTATGCTCAATTAGTATTAAGTTCTAGATATTAATGTTTTTCTTGCCCGAAACGCATTGCGTAATAGTGGCTTTAGGCATTGTATGTTCTAGCTCTATCTATATATCAATCCATTAATGTAACATCACTTGTATGTATATACCTTACCTGAAAGAGG